CATATGAACATTCGCTGCATTCACATATTAAAAATGAGATTTACTCTGTAAGACATAAAGTGTTACCGATGTAACTATGATTTAATAGTTACTTAAAGCTATTAACATGTATAGAATATAAATGTAATTATAAAAAAGTAGAATTAATTTGCAATTAAATGAATTTTATCTTCATGACATTGTTCCATATGCCATTACACTTTCACTCTAAAATTATTAGAAGTATAATTGGTGTTTTTATAATGCTATATAATACCAATTACACCACTGATTATAATAAAATAAATACGGCAATACCAATTCTTTAAAAACATCATGATCAACTATATCTTTTGATGGATTTCCCTAATTCTATAAAATCCGCCTATTAAATAATATTAAAAATAAAATAATATAAAAAAAAAACAGTTCTCATAATTATTATGTAATATCATTGCAAATGTATTATCTATGTAATATTTCTAAAATAATTCTTATCTTTTACGCATTAAAAATGATTTCATTATTATTGTTTTCAAAAAATCGTATGCCCCTAATTCGTTTCAATACAATTGCTTTAATTTTAATTGATTATGAAAATAACGTTTTTTCTTTAAATTGATACCTATGGTAATTTTATAAAAATTTAGTCAAAGAAGATGCTTCGTAGCATAAAATATGTGCATTATTTTGTTTCAGAATGTAATAAAAAATAGAATAGTTTCTGCTTTTACTAAAAATTAAATATTAAACATATTTCTGTCTTTTTACATCGACTATATTGATCATAAAACTTTCAACATCTTGAAATTTAATATATGATTATTATGTGAATATTATAATAAATCAATAAATTGAATTATCAATACCTGAACAACAAATTTTCAACAATAACATACAATGGATTAATATTTTTACAAGCCTGAATTACTTGTTGTAACAAATGGACAAATGGTACTTTGTAAATACCATGAAATTGCACGTATGCAGAAAAAATTTCGCGTATTGAATTCCATATTCGATCAATGAATTTATATTTAGTTCCGCGTTTAGAATTAAAATACTGAAATATAAATAAAGCTGTCAAAAGCTATCAGAAGTGGAAGTGGCATTAATTGTGTATGAAGGAATCGCATTATCGTTCACAACACGAATATTTAATTCATTTAAACGATTATCTAAAACGATACTAACGGGATGAGGTGCGATCGCGAAAAGTAAACAAAAGACGTGCTCGCAAGATAATAAAAAATAGCGGGAAGAGAAAAATAACAAACGCTTTTACCTAGCCGATATATTTATGTTCTCGCCGCCGCCGCCGCTGCCGCCACCACCAACGACAAGCGACGAGCGACGAGCGACGAGCGACGACAGAGCGACGACAACGACAACGACGAGCGACGACAACGACAACGACGAGCGACGACAACGACAACGACGAGCGACGACAACGACAACGACGAGCGACGACAACGACAACGACGAGCGACGACAACGACAACGACGAGCGACGACAACGACAACGACGAGCGACGACAACGACAACGACGAGCGACGACAACGACAACGACGAGCGACGACAACGACAACGACGAGCGACGACAACGACAACGACGAGCGACGACAACGACAACGACGAGCGACGACAACGACAACGACGAGCGACGACAACGACAACGACGAGCGACGACAACGACAACGACAATGACACTAGGCATCACGTAACCGCTCGCAAACGTACGCTATCATCATCAACAGAACCCGAATAATCCTCACCTCGACAGGAAAAAGCGGGACGAGGGTCAGGATCAATCGGCGATCGACTTCCCCTCGTAACATCTAGGGGACGTTGGTCGCAAGCTATTCGCCGTGAACACGGGCAAAAGAACAATACCCTTGCGCTATTCGCTCTTATCGTGACGAACAGACGAGAGTGACGGGAAAAATTTTCA